GCTCTTGATGAAATGCGACGTGGACGAGAACTTGATCAAGCAATCAGGTTTCTCAAAGTCCTGAACGATCAGTTCTCACATCTCCGTTCACAGATCATGCTAATCCAACCATTACCTAACATGAACAAGGCGTTTTCACTTGTTACATAACAAGAACGTCAGCTTAATTCTGAAGTTCATGGATCTGTTGCTATGGAACCAAGAGCATACTCTATAGATCAGTGTCGTCGAAATGGTAACTTCAATAAAGAGAAAGGTCCAAAGCCACGTGGAAATAAGTTGTGCACACACTATGGAAGAACCAATCACACAGTGGATACATGATATATGAAGCATGGATATCCACCAGGGTTCAAATCGAGGCCTAGAAATGTTTCTGCAAATGCGATTCTTGGGGATGAAAGAACTGAACGAAATGAATCCCAGGATGCCATGATTATGACTCAACAACAGTATCAGAATATAATGAATATGTTGCAGCAAACAAAGGTTCACAATGGAGAAGAATAGAACTCCATTAACCATGCTGTCAACATGATTCACACAGCTTCCACTACAGCCTATGCTACTCCTATAGGCACACAAAATTCTGGTAAGACAAATTTTCATTGGATCCTTGACACTGGAGCAACGGATCATATATCTTGCAATTTATCTGATTTCACTTCTTTCCATGATATTAGTCCAGTTTCCAATACTCTACCCGATGGTTCGAAATTTTTAGCTCACCACTCTGGATCTGTTGAAATATTGCAAAATATGCATTTGTCTGATGTTCTATTTGTTTCAGATTTTTGTGTTAATCTGATCTCAGTGGCCAAGCTAGTTCAATCCCTTGATTGTGAACTTATTTTCCATAATTATGTTTGTTGTATTAAACAGATCAAGTCACAGCAAGTGATTGGTTTAGCTAGACTATGCAATGGACTATTTCAATTGGAAACACACAACAACAAGAAGTTGGAAGAAGTCACTGTTTTTGATATCAATGTTTCTGATAGTGGATATGCAAATAACACACTCACTAATGCCTCTACATTGTGGCATTTGCGATTTGGAGATGCCTCAAACTCTGTATTGAGAGCAATGTGTAGTAGATTTCCTTTCATAAGATGTAATAAGAGTTGTACTCCCCGTGACATGTAAGAACCCACACTGTTAATTTAGAAAATTAATTAATTAATTACGAGACTAATGAGATAATTTCATCATTGTCCCTAATAATTATGAGAAGGCTTAAATAATTATGGTAAGTGATTAATAATGTTGAAAGTCGCTTTTCTGACGAAAAGTACAGATACCGATTCTGTCTCACGGTATAAATGCGTACTGATGGAGTATCCCGAAAAATTATGAAAAGTGTGTATATATTACTATAATAATATATAGGACTAGTATAACAAGTTCGAAGTCAAAATAATGAGAATTGGTGTCAGAACTGATACCGGCTACGTAAAAGCGCGTACTGGCAAAGTGCTGCAAAAAATAAAATAAAAATATCTTAAATCCTAGAAAAATGGCTACGTTTAGAATCCAAAATTTGGGATTAAAATGTTAAGCATAGCTATTAGCGCTAATACTGACGATTAAAACTTAAGTAGACTATATATACTTAAGGGCACACCTTTCTAGGTCAGTTTTCATTCTTCAAAATTGATTCTACGTGCCTCCATTTTCTGAGTTTGTGTCCCTCACCTTGCCACCTTCATTTCTCCAAAGAAACCTTCAAAGTGACCACCTTTCTCCATTGTTTCTTCATCAAAAAACACCATGGTTGAGTGTGGTTGAGACTTGGGTGGGAGAAAAGCTTTTGTGTTCTGAGTTTAGGTTCTATTTTGTGAGGTATTGGGGGCTGAGTTGTGAGTTCTCATTGTGAGAGCCATTGTCTTGTCTTGGTTGCTTCAAGGAGCCATTTTTAAGTGTAAAAGAGCCAACTTGAGGTGTCTAATTCGTGATTCTCTAAGGTTAGCACCTTGGAGCTGTGTTGGAGGCTCCAAGTCAGTGTCTTTTCTGAGTTTTCAAGTCCTAAGGTGAGCCATGATCATCCCTTTTGAATTTTCCATGGTTTGAACTTGTGTGAGTCTTGAAAAATAGAAACTTGAACCATTTGAGCTAAAGGCTGGTAATCTATGTCTTAAATATGTTAATAAACATATGTTTACGGAGTCATTGGACTCCAAATCATAATTGGACACTTAAAAATAGGATTACGCAGTGAACAGCTCAAGTTTCTGCATTCTGTCTGATAAGTATTCGAATACTTTTCGTGGAGTATTCGAATACTCATCAGCAGGTAATCGAATACTCATTGAAGGAGTATTGGGATACTTTTCTGGGAAGAAAAGTATTCGGATACCATAGTGTAGTATTCGAATACTGTTGGGAAAGTATTCGGATACCCTGTGGTATTCGAATTCTTAAGTGAAAGTATTCAGATACTTTCTGGAGACATGGAGTATTCGAATACTCATCGAGGAGTATTCGAATACCTCTTACAGAATTTGCTTGAAATCACCTAAAACAAGTTGGAAAGCCTTAGTCACTTAATGGAATCTCGGACAATGAATATTAATGATTATTTTTTGCATAAACAGACTGTGATTGTGTTGTTTGGTGATATTGAGCTAGTGTGGACTTGGCTTGGATTAGTTGCTTAGGAGGTAAGCTTTTGTGTCCTCGGTTTAGACATTGTTGTTGAGAACCATGACAAAAGCCAAAAAACAAAATAAAAATGAGTGGTGGAAAAAAGAGTTAGTAAATGTGTAAAAGTGTGCATCACAAGCCAATATATGGGACTTTTATAAAACAAGATTATCCAACTATTAACTAACCAATTGACAAGTCATCAAATTTATCATCCTCTAACTAAATCAACAAGCGAATTAAATTACATTACTAATGACGTGCCTATGGATAATTAACTTTTTCACCCCATTTTTAATGATCCTAGGCCGTCTAATTTTTTTTTAATTCATTAAAGGGTTCCTGAATTTTAATTTATTTTTATTTTTTATCTGGAACATTGCTATAGAGAGCATGAAGCTCCCTATTCTATAGCCTGGGTTGAGACTAGATAAACATTTGTTGTGGTTGGAAATTGGAATGCACTTCTGTGCTATTATTTGAACAAGTTTTGAGATGGAATAATGCAAGTGTGTGGACATCGTCTCGTTGGAAATATTTAATATACTCCCGTTGTACTTACATCTAGCCAATAAAAATATGACTTATGCTGATATGTTTCCTGATGAGAGATAAAAAAAATAACTAATATTATACTTACGTATTTTTTGAAATACATAGCCTGTAATTTCATTTTGAATAGGAGTAATACCTACTATTCAGTGCTATGAGAGTACTAAAAATACTCTTCGCCTCAATATATGTATTGGGTAGAATTCACATCTGCTGTCATAACTCATTATCAAATAGGTATGGTTCTTTGTATGTTTGATTTTACTTCTGCATCCTAATTCAAAGTTCTATTGAGATTTTGCTTCTCTTTGTAGTAATTATGCTCTTGGAGATATGGATTTTTCACGTAGTTGTGGTTCATATTCATAAGAAAACTTATGCAATATGTCCTCTTCCCACCTATACTAATCAGATTTTGAGTTGACTTAATTTTTGAGTTTTTCTGGACCTAAAAATATATCAATTTTTTTTTCATATAAAGAAATTATTTGTTTATTGGTAACTACTTTACTCTGTTCATATTTTTTGGTTTATGTGAAGGATGCAATTGATCTCTCATGAGGACATTATATAGTTTCTGTCAACCGAGATATGGTTCCCTCTTCTCAAAATCGAGACCTTGAATCTATTGCTGTGAGTTCAATTTACATGGAAATATTTTCCATATCGAAGTTTCAGGCATCTGTTTTGGTTTTGGAACAGTTACTAGAAAGTTCATATTTGGCTAAATATTTTTTAACTTTACGTGAAATATGGCTAAATTCATTGTGATTATGCTTCAAATTAGTTGAAATCCCAGTTTTCTGGAGAAAGCCTACTTTCCTTTACCACATTGACATTGGTTTGTGGTTCAAGTTCATTTGAATTTTTATACTTTAAAAAATAGGTATGGTTTAGTTCAATTTGATTTTTTATACGCTTAAAAATGGATATGATTCGGTTTAATTTAGTTTTTGTTCTGGATAGCCCACATGCATAGGCCCACTATTAGGTCCAATCTAAAAAGCCCACTACTAATACTTAGGGTTCCCCTTCTTCCCAAGGCACAAGGCTGCCCCTGCACACTGGCAGAGGTTCAGCATGCCTAGCCTGAGAGGGCTAGGCTGGCTAGGTTGAGAGGCTCCAACTCTAAATACCCCCTCTCACATTGAGGGAAAGACCTCTTCTCCTCCATTCAGCTTGATGCGCTGCCACCCTGGAGAGCAATCCTAGCCACTCTCACACACCTCCCATTTATGCACACCATGGGAAGCTTCATTAGTGTTTTGGTCTCTACCATTGCCACTATGAGCACCCCCTATATCAACATACTTCACCATCCATAAGACATGTGACACCCTCCCCTGTATGCATCCAAAACAGTTGTCTGCTAAGCGGATTAGAGTTGAAATGTTAACGAGTAAAATTCTTTTTCCAAAATCTTTTTGATATTACCAATTAGAAAAGATTGCCTCAAAAACTGACTATAAAAAAAATAGAAACAACAAATAAATTTTTAAAGAGGCTTTCGCTGCGTCACTCTGATTTTCTTAAAAATAGCCTGTTTTGCAAAAATAATGTAAATTCGAAGTCTACAGCTTAAAAAAATATTCTTTGATGCAAGGAAACTAGACATCCGGAGCTACGCGTACATATAAATTATAAGTGAATCGGAGGAGAATAGCCCCACGAAACAGAACTCGCAATGTACTCGAAAATCCAGTGTATATTTCTAAAAACCTCCTGACTTGTAAAAATCATAATAATTCAGGATTACAAACTTTGAACATAATCTTTATATAATCTGAAAGTACACAACTGGGGCTTTACACATATAAATTATACCTCATTCGGAGGTCTGTAGCCTCAGAACGGCAACTCGCAAAGTGCTCGCAAAAACATTTCAAAAATCCGAATTTAAGTACAACAGTAATTATTTTCACAAACTAATTACCAGAATTATAAACATCATGCTACACTTCTTTTCAAAACAGAATATACATCATGGCATGCCATTCTTTAAGAAACTACATCAAGGTCAAATAATCAAAATACAATCAGCAGAAACAACAAGCAAACAACAATGTTGTCACCAGCATAACTTAAACAGATTTAGCCATGTGATCATGTCATCAAACACTTCTTCAATTGCTCCTAAGTCCTCCTGCAATTTATAAAAATTGAGCCCCCGAAGGGGTGAGAAAAATCCCAGTAGTGTGGCAATAAAACCAGTACAGCAACAATATTAGACTAAGCACAAAATTCCAAAACAATCGCATCAACATTTGATTTTCCGGACAGATGCTAACATATAATCAAAGTGCGTATATAACGCCAAAATATTAATCATATTGCATATATAACGCCATAATACTAATCAAGATGCGTATATAACGCCAAAAGTGTAAGTTCATAGCACTACAGTGCATATATCACTAACAAACACAGTGGAGAATCCTGGGTGGCTCCTCAAAAGGGCTCCAACTGTGACCTAAGTGGACGGAAGCCAAGTGTCCCATACCCTGGTACCGGAGGGATGCCTATATGAGGCGTGCTCAAACGTATGCTTACTTTTATTATATACTTCAATCTCGAAGATGAATGCATAATGCTGTATGCTATGACATGCTTGACACACACACAAACAGAGAAAGGTGAAACATGATGTGCATATGCATGACTAGATCATAATCATAATAGCGTATATCTCTTGTATATTTAATACCATGCTGCCGAATAACAAATACTTCCATAGGCAGAATTTTCCATCATGGCAAGTCCAAAAGCAGAATACATATAACATGTAACATATAACAAAATACTAATCATAAGTCGCATGTGAGCATCAGTTCAAAATTCCATACTCTAGCTAATAGTCACAGTAGGTCTCACCACCAAACACATACCTTGTGAGTCCAAGCATCAATCAAACAGCCAAGTATCAATCAAACAGCACAAGAATAGACCACGCTCTTAGGGAATTTGCGCACCTAATATACCATTGCACCAAATCAGAATCTCATATAATTTTTCCTATAATTCACAAACAATTCCTATGCCTCCTACTCTTGCATATGATCAGCTTTCATGGTTCTCATAATAATTTAATTTTTCGACTTTATATCATTTTTTTTCTAACTTGCTACATTAATAAACATCCAAGGTTCTTCCATGTATCCAATTCGGTTTTACCATGCTTCTTTTCCTACACAATTTCTAATTTCATATTAATTTACCAACATATAACGGCGAGAAATTCCAAAGCCTCATATATATGCAGATTCGGTTCTTCTAGCATTTAAAACAAGATATTCAAAATTTTATTTAAATAACCAAACCCACTAAACCTAGGAGTATTGCAGGGGACCTAAAACATGATGTTCAAAATCTCTTGACTACATACATTTTCTGACTTAAAGTGCATTCCGATTATTATCTAGTGACCACACCCAAATTTTCTAAGCATGCAGCCTCGGTTTTTAAAACCATTAACAAGGTCCATCCTCCTACTTTAATTTTTTTCTAATTCAAGAAACAGTCCAGCCAAGTTTAAAGAGAGCCATTTCCATGCTCACAAGATATCGGTTTAGGCTCACATGTATCAAGTTCTAGTGTTGTACAAAATGCAGAATTAAGGAATTATTTTTCCAATTCACAAACTATCAATTTCGATTTTCTAAGTATCAATTCCAAGGTTGTTCAAACAGAATTAAAACATGCTAGGCTGTATAATTTTTTTTTCCAACTATAAATTCTCATTTTTAAGGGGTTTGGCCGAGGGTCACATAACCAATAGAGCTCTTGTTCTAATCATTAAGTTTTAACTAAAACAGAACACATACTTCCGGTTGACAAGTTCTATCATCTCCTAAGTTTTCTTCATATGGCCAACAATCAACGTGTTACAATGGGTCCTAGTGCTCATTGCTAAGTTATTACCAAATAGAATTTTGTTCAATCTATATAACATGAATGCCTCATTCCAAAGCAGAATCAAGTCTAAGAATCATTTCCATTTAACAAGACCTTTCTACTTAATTTGGACATGAACTAATGAGTAAATTTGTATGTTGTCTCCATGAATAAAAATACCCGCAAAGCTTAACATTTATACCATTCCAAAGTACAATCCCTAATTTCCATAATAGTTACCTTTCAAGTTCCCAAACTCAGATTTTGGTTGCATGTATCCAACAGTCCAACGTTGCAGGGCTGAACAGAAAAGGAACAAAAAGAACTCACCAATTACCACTCTCCTAGGTCATATGTGAAGGTCGAAACATGGGGGTGGAAGGAGAGTTATGATAACTCAACTCATACCCTCATGCATGTGTCCAAAAAACTCTCAAGCCCGCTTGAGGAAGATGCTCATCCAAAGAATACGTTCAAACTGCATTCAGGGAAAAGAAGCTTACAAAACGGAATGGTGCAAAGAAATAGGGACATGGAAGAGGTTCATCACCTATCCCTCTTTGTGGTTCAGCCGAGCGCACCATTGGAAGGGAATGAAGATGGTTGCTTAGGTTTTCATTCCTCCTTTCTAAAGATCAGCGACTTGGGGAGAGAAGAATGGGAAGGAACAGAACTTGTAACCCTGCTGCTGATGTTCAGCCTAGCGCTCAAAAAGGGAGGAAGAAACTTGAAAGCTAGGTGATATTTGTTCTTCTGCATAAGTGGTATGCGATCTTGAGGGGGAAAATAAAGGAACTGGGCTCTGGGTACAAACTTATAAACTCAGACTTGCCAACTCCTAATCAGCGCTTGGTGGTTGAAGATGGGAAGGGAAATATTCGTTTTCTTGTGTGGGTATTCCTTCTCTTTGTTACAGCTTGGAGGGGAATGGAATAAGGACTAGACTCAGTTTAATTCTGAACAAGGGAACCAACAAAATGGGTTGCTGCTTCTCTTGGTGTTAGACGTACAAGTAGAGATAAGGTGAGGTTGTTTGCTTTTTGACAAATGGCACAAGTCAGCTTCCTCTTGGCCAATCAAAGCACACAGATTTGTTTAGAGATTCACTGGAGGAAAAACATAGGCTGACTTAGTCCCCTATTTTACAAGGGTTGGGCCGTGGCCAATGGGGAATTTGGGCCCAAGCTTTCACCTAAACCATGTTGTTTCATGTGGTTCACCAATTATTATCTAGGATTTCATTGTATGTGGTACTTTAAATATTTTTCCTAATAATTATTATTTCATGTTCCCACAAATTAGTGGTTAGTGTCCCTATCTATAATGTAATTAAATGCAATATTATCCTTTTTTAACTAGTATCTTGGATCTATTAGAATCCACACATACACTCACTTATATTATCAACACAAAATAATTTTCCTAACTTAAATACATTCCATTCTAAACATAAGTTTATTTCGAATTTCAAGCATGCTACACACCCCTAATTGTAAGTTATGTAATTTTCTAATTTTGCGGAATGTTACTGGACACATCTTATGTATACCAAATGTACATTGGCGCCGTTTGTGGTAAACAGTAAACTCTGATTCCCTCTTCTTTGCTAAAAGCTATCGAAAGGCAATTCCTCCACACTTCTGCAATTGAACAAGAAGAGCACGAAGAACCATAAAAAAAAAGAGCTTGAAGATCATATAAAGAAACGAAAGATAAGAGAAAGTTTCAGAAAGTCAGAGTGCAAGAGCCCAGATCTGCAAAGAGCCAGAAGGGCTAGATCTACCAAAAGAAAGGAAAGCCAAAAGAACCCACATCTATAAAGAAGTGCAAATTTTCCAGACCAGAGTTCAGAACTCAGAGCAAAGAATATCATAACCAAAGAACCCAGATCTATCGAAAAGGTACATGCTCACAAACTTCAACAAGTTCAAGCTCGACATCACCCACCCAGTCAGAAATTCAAGCATCTGTGGTGCGAGAAAAATCGACCTTCATTGTTAGGAATCATCATCTCGTTATTTTTAACTTGTTTCCAGTCGGCTTACATGCTTCAAAGGTAAGTTGATTACACTTCACAAAAACTGGCGTTAGTAAGAAGGTATATAATATCATATATTATAATGTCATACATCATTCAATATTATATTGGCGTTCATGGCCACCAAATTTATTATATACGCCATACATTGTTATTATGGCATTCACAGCATTCATACATTATTATAATGCCATAAATTAGTATATAATCCTGTCGGTTTAAATGCCTAAAATTGAAGGGGTCCTACAAGCTTTAGTTGTACTTTTCCTGTTGGCATCAACACCAGTCTAGCCATCTCTCAATAACATATGCAACAAATCAACAACAAGTGATTGAACTTCATGACTCTATCATAACCAATGGCAACATCGTTCTTTCATGGTCGCCCAGAGCACCCATCATGCCAACAACCCAAAGCCCAAAGAAAGTCCCACCGTCTAACATTCATCAGCAGATCCAAAGATGGCAACCGCCCAAAGATCCTCCGCCCAAAAAAGACTCAAAGAAACCACCGCCCGCCATAAGTTCCCATCGCCCAAAAGATATCGCCCAAAAGAAAATAACAACCAACCAGAAATATCCTTCTACTCCACTTGCAGTCATGAGTCGCACCATTTCAGCATATGTTGTCGGTTCAGAACACCCTTGAGTCGCGCCAGTCAGAGAGAGATACATGCTAGCTTCATGCCGACAGGAAGTTAGACGTTCAATTACCCTCTGGCGTTCACATAGCTTCAGGCGTTCACATGCCCTCTTCGGCGTCCCCCACCAAGACTTCAACACACCGAGAGGAAAACTCGCCTCAAAAAAGCATCAAGCACCATACCAGCCACCTTTCAGAAAATATCAAGCCAGTCATCCAAAACATCATCAACCAGAGACACGAGTGGAATCCATCATAAACAAATCAAAAACAAAAGAGATACATACTTACCAAGACTCTCCGGCGTTCACTCATCTCCCTCAACTTGCCGCCCAAAATCTGTTGGCTTTTACAGGTCCCTTAACTGATGTTCTCACACAGAACTCACAAGAACTCAATAATATTCTCTAAAACACACACTTCGTATTATGTAATAATCTGCCAACCACACTTACAATTGTTTTATAAGACAACATTTATAGGCAAAAGTATAATACCCTAAAGCATTTAAAAGACTCTTAGAAAACTAAACACAATTAATATCCACTAAAAGAAACCTAACGAACATAAACCTTTCACATCCTTTTCTTTGAATTTCAAGTTTATCTAATAACACTCCCCCATAAACTTTAAATTTTCTACCGTCCTTCATTCCCAACATCCTTTTGCAGTTTTCGAGAAGTAAAGTTGGCAACGGCTTTGTGAAAATATCCCCAACTTGATCTCAGCTTCCCACGTGTACGAGCTCCACCTTTCCTTCCTTTACTTGATCCCAGATGAAATGGAATCTGACATCAATGTGTTTGCTTCTCTCATGATTAACCGGGTTCTTAGCTAACTCAATAGCGGGTTTGTTATCGACTTGGATCTCGGTTGGTCCAGCCTGTTCTTGTTTCAGCTTTCCGAGCAAATTTCTCAACCAAATTGCGTGACATACACACCAAGACGCAGCCACGTATTCAGCCTCACAAGTCGATAGTGCCACAATGGGTTCTTTCTTCGATGTTCAAGTGAATGCCGTATTTCCCATGAAAAATACCTATCCAGCCGTGCTCTTCCTGTCATCCACATCTCCACACCAGTCACTATCCGAGTAGCCAATTAACTTGTAATTATCCGACTTCAAATAGTGAAGTCCTATGGATGTTGTTCCTCGTATATACCTTAGTATTCTCTTTGCCGCCTTCCAGTGTGAGTAGCCCGGATCCTCCATGAACCGGCTTATAATCCCAACACTCAAACATAAGTCCGGTCTTGTACACGTCAAGTACCTCAAACATCCAACTAAACTTCTGTAATTACTCAGATCAACTCGGTCTCCACTATCATACTTTGAGAGTTTTAAACCGGGTTCTTACAGAACCCGTACCGTTAATTAAGGATATTAATTAATTATATATGAGAAATAAGAAATAATTCTATGATTGACCCTAATAATTATTATAAGGCTTAATTTAGTATGATAAGTGATTAAGAATGCTGAAAGTCGCTTTTCGGAAGAAAAATACATATACCGGTTCTGCTAGTCGGTATAAATGCGTACCGAAAAAGTATCCTGGAAATTTATAATAAGTTCTTGAATATTCCTAGAATATTATATAGGACTTGTAAAACGAGTTTCAAGTTAAAATAATGAGAACTGGTGCCAGAAACCGATACTGGCTATGAAAAACGCGTACCAGAAAGGTGTTCCGAAAAATATAAAAAAATATGATATTTTTTGTAAAATCGAGTAGTTTAAGGATCCTGAGTTTGGGATTAAAATGCTAAGCATAGCAATTAATGTTAATACTGTGTGTTTAATGACCTAACCGCCTATATATAGTGCTTGGCACTAAACTCTAGGCTGATTCTTCAGCCACTCTACGTGAAACTTGGAGGCCAGCTGCTGCTCCTTTCATTCTTGGTCCTTCTTGTTTGAAAATCTCCCAAGCTTTCACCTTTTCTCTCTTTATTCTTAATCTAAACACTTGGTTGGGGTGAGGGTGAGCTTTGTGAGTGAAAAGGCCAGCCATTTTCTGAGTTTGGGGACTGTCTTGGAGTACCTTGAGGGCTGACTTCTTGGTTGAGTGTTGAAGGGCTTTGTTCCTTGCTTGTGAGGCTTCAAGGAGCAACCTTTGTAAAGAGAGAACCTTGGTGGTGTGTTATTTTCGTTTCTCTTCATAGTCAGAACTGTGAGTACTTGGCGGGAAGCTCCAAGAGTGTTTATTTGCTGAGTTTAAGCTTGGGTAAGCTTCATCACCTTTGATCATTAGTCTAAGTGGTTAAAAATAGAACCTTGATGCATATAATGAGCTAAGATGTTAACCTTATGTTGGTTAATGCTTAACACACTTAGAAATGCATGTTTAAGCTTATGTAATCGGTAAAAGTTGGACCTTTGGTTTGGATTTTCGCGAAGTGCAGAATCTGGGTTCTGTCGCGAAATATCCAGATATTTTGTTGTGAATATCCGGATATTGATATCCGGATCCGGATGTGGGGATCTGAATATCCGGATATGGATATCCGGATATTGGAAGAGAGATATCCGGATATGCCCCCGACGAATATCCGGATATTCTGAGATTTCAAAGAACAGTAGCTGCACTGTTCATACAGTAGGCTATTGGGGGTTGGTGGACCCTAGAGTGATGAAGTTGAACTTCTGTTTTAATCAAACTAAGTCAGAACCAAGTGGTTAAGGGCTTATGGCTTTGGTGAAGCCTTAAGACATAAATCGTAAGAGGAAAACGTAGTCTTTATGTTTATGCTTATGAGCTATGAGTGTTGATATACTTGCTGGTCCTAATCAGATTATGATCTGCTGTGTGTTGGACTTGAGCTGTGTGGACTCTTGGCATTGGATAGTGAGCGTGCAAGGTAAGCTTTCGTGTCCTCGGTTTAGCCATGTTGTGGTTTTACCATGTCCCATGGAGGTATGGTTATATGCATGTTGTGCTACATGCTTTTGATGTTTTGGAAATGCTGTTGAGCTGTTATATGCTAGTGCCTTTATGATATGCATGTGATGTTCCACTTATACGGTAAGCCTGAGTATGTAGTACATACAATATGGTGAGGCTGTGGGTGAGGTGCAAGCGGTGTTCCTTGTACTATTTGTAGGTAATAGACGTATTCCTGCATTTCTCTGGCCAGTAGAATAGTATTGACACACATGGCATGAATATCTGTTGCACTGCATTGAGTTTTGAGAACTTATATTGGATTACTGATTTTAGAACTTATATTGCACATGTAAGTGAGCTTGGGGTGGAAGATCCTTGAGGACCCCTTGTCTTACTAAGATTTCTGTTTAGAGATCTCACCCC